GGCCCATTTTTTGTCACAAAAAGGGCATGAATAGCTTTTAGGAGGCTTGTAGAGTGCTCCTGGGGGCTGGAGGGGGATCAAAAATGAGCAAAAATGGCCGTTTCTTTGTGAAAACACCCATTTTTTGTCAAAAGAGGGCATGCATAGCTTTTTGGAGGCTTGTAGGGTGCTCCTGGGGGATGCTGGGGGGGGGGGTCCCCAGGATCCAGGAGCCCTCTGGAAACCTCCTAAAGGCTATGCATGGCCATTTTAGTGAAGGGCGGGGTTTCAGGGGGCCAAAAAGCTGTTTTCAGTGTATAAGACGCACCCAGATTTTCAGCCTCTTTTTTGAGGGAAAAAAGTACGCCTTATACTCCGAAAAATATGGTAAGTGGTGAAGACAAACTAGTTGGTTTCTCCCTTTAGGGAACACAACAAAATTGAAGTTCAAACCATAAAACAAGGTGAAATTCATTTAACAAATGTTTCTCTTAGCAACAGAAATTTGGACTCAGTTGTGGTCATAACTCGAGGATTACCTGAACATAAAACAACCTTCCTAATTGCTATGAGCAAAGTGCCTTTTTTGATTTAAATTCCCTCTCCTTTTTTTTAATAAAAAGTTTTTTGTTTTTTATTTTTCAACATATAAACATTCCATCTTTCCTTAAACAGTGTGACATCTGGGTACAAATATCTTTGTGCAATAGCTTTCAGCATTTACAACCATTCACATTAATATTCATTCTCTAATCTTAAAATTACAATGTATTAAGCAATTGAACATTATTAACCTATTCATTTTCCTCCTAATGTATCTTCTAATAAAAATACAATACTGTTAATCATAATTATCTTCCTCATCATAATGCCAACAATTATCATCTTGTTTATACCTCTATTTTAACATATTTTCTACTCTTCCTCTAAATTCCCTCTCCTTTTTGTACGTAGATAAAATTAAGGCCAGCACCCTTGCCTGAATTCGTGCCTGATTCAACGGAGATCATTTTTGGGAAGAACGACATGAATGAAGAGAAAATGGAGGAGAGAAGGAAGCGGGCTCGGGAATATTCCAAGTATCAGCTGCAGGCAGTGGCAGATCGTAAGAGGACTGCCATTCTTAATGAGCTGGTGGATCAGAGGAGAGCTGCAGACATGTTCCAAAGAGCTAAGAAACAGTAAGATGGAAACTGTAAAGGGTTAATACTACTCGGAGAAGGTCTAGGCTGGACCTGGTAGGAACAAACAGAGCCATGATGCGCACTCAAACACTGCAAAACTCAGCTTTAAACCCCACAAGCAGGCCGCAGCCTCAGAACATGACGAGTAGGAAACGCATCCTTTGTAAAGTAAGCGCTGGGAGCATCTGCCTCCCAGCAACTTTTCAAGTCTCTGGACCCCACCCACGGGTGAAATCTAGCAGGTTCTGACAGATTCTGGTGAACTGGTAGCGGATATTTTGAGTAGTTCAGAGACCCGGCAAATACCGCCTCTGGCTGGCCCCAGAGTGGGGTGGGAATGGAGATTTTGCAGTATCCTTCCCCTGGAGTGGGGTGGGAATGGAGATTTTGCA